GAGCAAATGTGAAAACTACAGAGGCATTACACTACTGTCAATACCAGGGAAAGTCTTCAACAGATTGTTGCTGAACCGGATGAAGGATGCAGTAGACGCCTAACTTCGAGATCAACAAGCTGGATTCCGTAAGGATCGGTCGTGCACAGACCAAATTGCAACACTACGGATCATCGTCGAACAATCAGTTGAGTGGAACTCATCACTATACATCAACTTCATTGATTATGAAAAGGCATTCGACAGTGTAGATAGGAAGACATTATGGAAACTTCTTCGACACTACGGAGTTCCTGAGAAGATTGTCAATATTATCCGGAACTCATACGACGGACTACAGTGCAAAGTAGTGCATGGAGGACAGCTGATAGATGCATTCCAAGTAAGGACCGGAGTCAGACAAGGCTGTTTACTCTCTCCCTTCCTCTTTCTTCTGGTGGTCGACTGGATTATGAAGACCTCAACATCTGAAGGAAAACACGGAATGCAATGGACAGCTCAACATCAATTAGACGATTTGAACTTCGCAGATGACCTAGCCCTCCTATCACGTACACACGAACAGATGCAGATGAAGACAGCCAGTGTAGCAGCAGTCTCTGCATCAGTAGGCCTCAGCATACACAAAGGGAAAACTAAGGTCCTCAAATTCAAAGCGGAGAACAGCAATCCAATCACACTTGATGGCAAAACTCTGGAAGATGTAGAGTCCTTCACATACCTGGGAAGCATCATCGATGAACAAGGAGGATCCGATGCAGACGTAAAGGCGAGGATCGGCAAAGCAAGGGCCACTTTCCTACAACTGAAGAACATATGGAACTCAAAAAAACTTTCAACCAATATCAAAGTAAGAATCTTCAATACGAACGTCAAGGCAGTTCTACTGCATGGAGCTGAAACTTGGAGAACTACAACAACCACAATCAAGAAAGTACAAGTATTTATAAATAACTGTCTACGCAAGATACTCAACATCCATTGGCCGGATACCATCAGCAATAGCCTTCTGTGGGAGAGAACAAACCAACTTCCAGCTGAAGAAGAAATTAGGAAAAGACGATGGAAATGGATAGGACATACATTACGCAAATCGTCGAACTGCATCACGAGGCAAGCCCTAACTTGGAGTCCTGAAGGGAAGCGAAAAAGAGGAAGGCCAAAGAACACATTGCGTCGGATAATAGAAGCAGATATGAAAACGACGAATTACAACTGGACGGAGCTAGAAAGGATTGCCCAGGACAGGGTTGGATGGAGAATGCTGGTGAGCGGCCTATGCTCCTTCACGAGGAGTAACAGGCGTAAGTAAGTAAGTAAGTAAGTACCCAGGATATTATGTGTGATCACAGCTATAGCTAATCACTGAAATGATCTGAAAGATGTGCAACTTAGCTGGATACTTTCAGTGTTATTGAATTCTTTGAGCTTATAACATCTAGTACCACTTCACACCTACGTGGAAGATTCTAGCTTTTGGACGGACCAATTAATATAATTTTCTGAGTCATTATGTACATATAGTTGATTGTGCCAGTTATCCCCACTCGTAACTATGGTTACCATTACATGAGCGTATCGACAGAGTTTGTTTATTACTCATTCTATTCGCAACACGTATTTAGCTTGTTCTTCCCATCCGATGATAAATGTTGAACCACGCTTGATAAAATTGAGTAGGCACACGTGCCATCTCCGATTTTCGTCTCTTTGTCTGTCTACTGAAATGAATGTGGGCATTATAAACAACCGACACATTCGTATTCGATATTTTATATCCGGATTGTTACTAACAGAATTTGTCGACATAAAATATACAATGTAAGTAAGGTCTATATTTCATCTACATCATTAACCGTTTTTATCATATTGGTTAGTCAGTCAATCAATCAAAATATAGAGCCTGGTAAGTATATACATCAGTTCAAGGTACCATACTCCATTAGCACAGAAAGATAAAACTGTCACACCAAATCCCAGAACAGTAAAGGTGGCAACAGTATCAGTGGTGTTAGATGAGATTTGGCATTGAAGATACGATTCAAAAAGAAAATATAAATTAGTGAGATGAAAAAGGTTATGATAGATTCAGAATTTGAGGGAAGATTAGGAATGGGTGCACCGTATCGGAATCAGATCACGAAAACAAAAAGCTAAATTGTTCCGTCAAGGTGATTCTAGGTGCTTTTATAAGTACAAATGAAATTGTCACTCCCCAATTGCTCACACAGTCAAAGCATACTTCATAGGCGATTTTTAGAGCAAATTGGGTCAAGTGCGGTTTTGACAGTCTGGAAGGGTGATTGCAGAAGTCATAGGCAACTTCTTGGAGTCAGTCATATATAGCTTTTTTGGAAAGACAGATTTGCTGAAAAAACAGATTATCTGAGTGAAACATCTTAATGACATCACATCACAGTACAGTCGACAATACAAGTTCATTGTCGGACCTTGAGTTTGTACAATTAGATTTACAGCTCCTATTGACTTGTCTGATATAATAGATAAAACCTGAAGAAACATGTGTTCTAGCTAATATATGGTTCAAATGTATCATTTCGATATGAGAGCTCGACCACTATGTCAAGGTAGCAGTTACGGTCAGGTTTACTACAATAAACATACCCTCAAAGAGCGTAATCCTACATTGGTTTTCAGGAAAACTAGACACCCACAATTTTTTTTACAACCTAAATAGCATATCTTAAACAATGTAGCCCAACTAAACAGGTACCAAAATCTCTGATAGACCAGAGCTATTTATAAAGCTTTCATTATTATTTTAGACATCATCATATCTTACTTCATGTAGATAACGATCTTATCTAGAAATATAATGAAAGTCATGAATTAAAGTCCTCTCTAGCTCAGAGAACTTAGCAATATTGAAAAGTAGTAATGAATCAATAGTTAAACCTCGGCAATCTGAAATATATTTATCCAAATTTAAAAAGAGTACATCACTGTTTAGAACTTCCTACAACATTCAACACCTCAATAAGATCAATTATTAATAAAAGGGTATGGTTGGTTTAAAAGTATCATTCTCTAACACACATACAAACATAATAACCATCACTTGAAACATCAAAGCATCATTCACTGCACTAATAAGTTATAGTTTGTTTCATTAATTTACAATCGCTGTTCTCTGAGCGTATTTAACTGACATATTCCTAAATGAGTGTCTGACGTTACACTATCAGACATACTAAATAGAAAGTAGGTAATATGTAATCACCAAAGACAATATTAAATAGTAAATATACAATAACCTTGATCTATCATAACCCAGACTGATTATATTAATCCTATCTTAACGGTTAAGAAGTCTGATTTTCAGTCATTAATTCTCGGGTTTGAACCCCGAGCATCTTCGCTTTGTTCATAACTGGGTATTATTACTAACCCTCACATTTAGAGTAAGGTTTGACGTTAGGTACATGAATATGAACCTGGTAAATGAATATCTAGTTGAAAAGAAAAGTATCAACGATAGAATTTTAAAAGTTTATGTTGAAATACAGACGATGAAGTCAGTTAACAAGTCCTAGATAGGATAAAGCATCGAGGTTAGACTTCAGTGTTAACTACTCCTCCAAATTAAACGAATTCTCATTCAAAACGATTTTCAAGTGACAATCATGCTTAGCTTTGTTTCATAAATTCCTCCTTATAAAACTAATAAGGATGAGTTCCAATACATAAAAATGATTATCTTTTTTAATTATTCATTTTATAAATTTATCCAATTTTTATTTAATAATTGAGATCATGAGTCAATTGAAGCTAGACTAACATGGAAAATCTGGAGACACCGGACGACCGTTTTGTCCTAGGATGCGACTCCTCAGCAGTGCGCATCCACAATCCCGCCTCGTGAGATTCGAACCCAGGATCACCACTAGATTAATGAGCTGGCATCCGACGGTGTTAATGTCTAGCTTCAACCAATCGAAAAAATCGTGCCACCGTCCACAATTGTCTTCAGTGAGTTACTACCTCACAACATACCCGGAATGTGATCCCATGGCAGGATCGTAGGAGCGCACTGATGAGGAGTCCCATACTAGGACGAAACGGTCGTACAGTGCTTCCAAGTTTTTCATGATGGTCTAGCTTCAATTGACTCATGAATTCAACCATAAAATTACCATAATATCCACAAAATCCCTCTCTGATTATAACTATAGTAGTGTTATGAAACAAAGAGAAAATAAACTACACCATGCATGTAGGGTTATAAAGATAATGGTCAGTCAGTCAGCTACAACATAGGACCAGGCACATATATGCATCGGTTTAAGTCGCCACACCTCATTTGCACAACAAGATGAACACCAGATTTTTAGAAGTAGTTACTTCAATGATAGTAATATATAAGGGAAAGATTGTGTATAAGGATATAATACAGGAAGAAAGAATTAGTTCGTAGAAAGAAAGATATGAAACGATTTTAATCTCTTAGTTTAAGGGAAGAGAGAGAGTGTATACACCGACGCTATTGTGATCGATTCTCAGTCATGTCACCAAGAGCCTCCAACCATTGGTTACGATAGTCACGTGGACCCCAACCAAGTAGTCTGCATCTACCAACATGGCTCAGACTAGAAGTTAGTGACTTCAAGCACTGATGCCACGTTTTGGTTTGTCCGCCCCTAACTTTCTTCCAATCATCTCCAACACTGGTTAGTATTGCACGTCGTGGTAATCGGTGTTCAGGCATACGTAACACGTGGCCCAACCATCTCAGTCGATGAAGATTGACAACCTCATCAATTGATTTACCATCATTCCCTAATACCCTGCGTCTAACCTCACTATTGCTTACCCGGTGATAAAGATAATGGATATTCACTCTCTCCTCTTAACTAACGTATGAACCTGATTGATCTATGAGATTCAAATAAGTAACTTATAATTAATATTTTAGCGAAAAACAAAGATTAAAAAGAAAGGAATAAACAAAAAATAGGAAGAAAGGAAGTGAGAAAACTTACACCGGAAGTAATAATTACACTGGTAAATCGTGACATAATTGGTCGTATAGGTAAGCTGGCATCCATACAATGAAAATACAACACTGGATTGATGATAGTTGGTGTACGTTCATCAAATGGTTCAATGATTAGACAAAAACCTTGTTAGGAGAAGAAGGAAAAAAAAGATGAACAATGAGTTTTTCTTTCGCCCTAAAATACATACATTCAGTAAATTTGTATCACTATTGTAGAATTGAGGAAGATATTTTATATATGAACAGTAATAGTGCTATTCAGTCAACAATTCTTATTCAGAAGGGGTTTTGTGGAGATTTTAGAAATTTCACTGATTGAAATCTATCGTGGATGCGCACTGCTGAGGAGTCCCATACTAGGACGAAACGGCCGTCCAGTGCTTCCAGGTTTTTCATGGTGGTCTAGATTCAATTGACTCATGATTTCAATCAGTGGAATTATTACTCAATTTAAATAACGGTAAGCAGTGAAGTCCATTATTTATTTATTTGAACACATAAACATTGGTACAAGGGTGTACCAAATACATATCCACCACACAAAAAAATTAGGCCAGTTATTAGTGATTTGTGTGAGGGCTGGGTCACCACTTGGGCACCCAAACTGAAACAGGTGGTTTTCGTAGGGGACCATTCCTCGAGCCTTCAACTTTAAGGTCCGATCCACAAGGCAATAGAGAAACGTAAGGAAATGCAGTCCCATAGTAGCCGGTCATCAATAATTGGTTCATACGCTATTTGTTCCTTTAGGATCCTGGAAGCCATGTACACCATTGGTTCAGAATGAGGGTTTTCCAACTCCCCTAAGTGGATTCTCCATATCCATCAACCCGGTTAAAGCGCAGGATATTCGATTTTAGTCTTCTCAATTTCGTAAATAACACTTGATATTTAGTATGAGAGTTTGCTTGAAATCAATGAAAAGTTATTGTTTCCTAGGCATTTTATCATTTACACAAGTCATTTTCATCTATCCTTTAGTATTGACTGTGTGTTTAATGCTAGATGGTTAGATGCCTCAAAGTGTCCTGGTACGGCCGAGAGTGAGGAGAGTTAGCTCTCCTTCTCCAAATGCTCTCACATGGCCACGTGAATACAACCACTGCCACACAAGTCCAACTCACTGCCTTCTCGCCGCATTACAGATGTTTACGAAATTGAGAGGATAAAAGCAAATATCCGGCGCCTTAACCGGGTTAGTGGACACGGAGTATCCACCCAGGAGAATTGGGAACCCCTGACTCTAAACCAATGGTGAACGTGGGCTCCGGGATCCTGACAGAACAAATGGAGTATGAACTAATCGTTGGTCACCGACTACCATGAGACTGCATCTCCCGACGTTGCTCCACTGCCTAGTGGATAAGACCTTTATGTGGAAGGCTTGGATGTGGTCCGCTCAGAAAACTACCTGTTTCGATCTGGGCACCTGTGCAGTATCCTAGCCCACACATAAATTAAATGACTTGTGTGGTGCATATGTATTCGGTGCCCCTTTGTACCAATATTCATATGTTTAAAGGAATAAGAAATAAAACATGATTCTAAAAGTAGTAATGAAATAAGAAGATAAAAAGTATGCAAAAATATTGAAACACAAGATATTGGTAAAGATAAAGAATGTGAACACTTTTGTATAATTGTGATCAAATGTAAGTTATATAAGTTCTTCAAGCACTATTGATCAGATAAATTCAACTAACAGGTCCAAAGTAAGACGAAATATGTGCTTTCTTGTTTCTCTTGTGAGGCACATTTTATCTATTCTATCTGAACAATTAATCAGCTATTCTCCATCCCATTGTGCAGTTGATTGAAGATCTGTATCTTACACTTGTAGGTGGAACACTCGTGGAGAAAATACAGTTGTTCTTGGGAGCCCTTAATCACGATTGTCCGACAGGAAAGAAGTCTAGACCTCTTTACATGTCTTAGACCAACAGTAAACGACTTCATAAACTGGTGCTGTGTCTTGATTCTCACCTCCTCACAAGCTTATTTCAACCTACTCCTTCAGAGTTCCGTATCCAAATGACCATCAGATATTGTAGATTCACTCTGAGCTTTATAAATGAGCGTCAATAGCTTGATTTAGTTAATAAGTGTTAAAAAGTAGATTACTAACAAATTAAAAAGTAATATACCGACACTGAATGTAAACTATGTAACATCACTACTCACCTCGAGTGTATGTAGATACAAGTGTTGCAAAATTACATAACAAAGTTAAACTAGAAAAATTGGCATAATCTGCCAATTCTAAAGTATGAAGCAGGGAACGTAATCTTTCCGCGCAGAATCTGGAAAAAACGGAAAACAAACAGTGGTATACATTTTTTGGTTAAAAAAAATGGCATACATAATAATTATCAGAAGGGGGTTTTTGTGGAGATTCTAGTAATTTTATGGTTGAATTCATGAGTCAATTGAAGCTAGACCATCATGAAAAACTTGGAAGCACTGTACGACCGTTTCGTCCTAGTATGGGACTCCCCATCAGTGCGCACCCACGATCCTGCCATAGGATCCCATCCCGCGTCTGTTGTGAGGTAGTAACTCACTGAATACAATTGTAGACAGTGGTGCGATTTTGCCGACTGGTTGAAGTTAGTCATTAACACCGTTGGATGACGGCATTCGCGATGGGTCCTGGGTTCGAATCTCGTGAGGCGGGATTGTGAATGCGCACTTCTGAGGAGTCCTATATTATGAAGAAACGGTCGTTCAGTGCTTCCAGATTTTCCATGGTCATCTAGCTTCAATTGACTCATGAATTCAACTATAAAACAGATAATAATGATAAGATCTACACAGTAAACTCCTGAAGTATTGAAATACTGATTTTGCTTATGTCAACCACACCTCACTTGAATATAATGATGAGACCAGGCAACCAGTGATTTCAAAGTGAACTACACAGTTTTAAATAAACTAATCAGCACCAAACGACATATCTAAGCACAATTACCTACGACTACTGCTGTGACAGCTATGATCTGAAAACAAGTTTGATCCTACATGATTGAAATATGAGATTTGAAAAAGAAAATATCAATTACAGAAGATATTTAAGTCAAGACAAAAATATCCCTATTATCATTATAAAGGTAAATAACAACGTAAAAAAAGCACAGAAGCAACCAACAAAAGTTTTAATGAGAAGCCGTGGCTAGTAGAGTTGAGCCATGTCGCGTATTAGGCAGTCATCTACTAATGGCATTTGAAAATGGTTGCAGGAAATCAAGAATTGACTGAAATCTAGAGTGTAAACTATTTTATGCCAACTTAGTTGTCTAAATGTTAAGCACTCGCTGTGAGACTTGAAGATCCTGGGTTCGATCCCCATGAGGTTGTGAATGAGCACTGAAGAGGAGGAATAAGCTATTCAATACTTAATGACTCTCAATGGTTGCCAAAATTAGGTTAGAGCATGATTGAAACCATAAATCGCGGTTAGTGAAAGAATCATTTTAAAGTGAAAATATAAATCAATGGAATGTGGGTTAGAGAAAATGAAATGACAAAGACAAATAATAGGATAACAAGATTCCGTCAATCCAAAATAACAGACGAGAGCCCACTGAGTAAATTCATTAGTGAATATTGTGCATACTGGAAATCGAGGAACAAATAGACAGTTTATTAAATTCACTTGATGTTGTTTACTTGTATCTTCCCATTGTTATTTAGGATTGTAATTCATCAGTCTCTTATTGGCATATAGGCATCCTGTGTGGACTGCATCGATATTGACTTAATTCACAAGCATTATAGGCAAAGATGGATAGTGGCTAGCAGTGAAATCCAGGACAACGCGCGTTTCGTCCTATTTAGGACTCGTCAGCTGAATAAACCCGCATCCCAGAGTTGGTGTCCACTCCGGGACTCGAACCCAATACCATCCGCTTCAAACGCCATCGCGTTATCCACTTAGTTACTGAGTCCTGATAGCCATCTGCTTGTGCAATAGGGTGAAGTTTAAATTACAAACAAATAACACTAAAAATATTGGTTAAACTTCAATATACAAACAAGCCTAACAGATCATTTAATTGTTAAGTAAGCTGATATGTGATGAGTGAAAAGTTTGCATAAAATCAAAAACTATGTCGCCACGGAAATCATAAGACATGGTGAAGTTGAATGGTTTTCTTGAGTTCTTCCTAGTTATTTTTCAATACTTCGAATTAGTTTATTCAGTAGAAACATTATGGAGTTATCACTACATAGTCAAGTTTATCTGACTGAAAACAGATTCAAGTGAAAAGTTATCTTCTTACTCTTCTTCACAGTCCCGGTTAGTGTTTTTTTAGCGAGTTAGTTTTCTACGAGATGTGTAGCTAGCGCCATACCCAACCCTCGTCCTTTATACGGGATTGAGACCGGCAGTAGCCCCAGAGGAACTCCAAGGAGGAGTTCTTTCTCACAGACGCAAATAGTTTTATGGAAAATTCATCACACATCACAAAATCTTTGCTAGCAAATTCTCTGCCGAGTAAGTTAGTGAGATGGAGAAATCAAGCATTCATACTTCACTACTCCATCTAATATTCAGTCAGTCAGCTACAACGTAGGACCAGGCACATATATGCATCGGTCCAAGTCGCCACACCTCATTTGCACAACAAGATGAACACCAGATTTTTAGAAGTAGTTACTTCAATGATAGTAATATATAAGGGAAAGATTGTGTATAAGGATATAATACAGGAAGAAAGAATTAGAAGGAAAGGCATAAAGTAATTTTAATCTTACGATTTGAGGGAAGACAAAGTGTATACACTGACGCGATTGTGATTGATTCTGATATATTTAACCCACAGTCTTCAACCGTTGGTTACGATAGTCAAGTGGACATCAACCAAGTAGTCTGCATCCATCAACATGACTCAGACCAGAAGTTAGTAACTTCAAGGACTGATGTCATGTTTTGGTTTAGCCGCCCCTAATTTTCTTCCATTCGTCTCCAACACTAGTCAGTGAACACCTAATTGAATGATCTCTCTGATAGTTTATTATGAACGAAGTAAGCATATAATATCCTAAAACTGGTCTTTTCTTACTTTATCATAGCAGAAAAGGACGTTTCCTAATAATTTTCAACAGTCTCTGGACTGCAAAGTGAGATGTCTACTGGACTATTTAGGTGATATGCAATAAACGACATTCCACTTTTTTAAGTATTGAAACACACACCGAAATTCCCTTTCTTATCAACTCCCAGTGACACATCCCCATGTTATAGTTTAATCAAAATACTTAAGATAACTGCAACGACTGATTCAAAACAGTTTAACAAGGAATAAAGACAAACATAAAAATTGTTAAGTCTTGGTACCTTGATGCAATTACTTATTGCAAACTGTTAATAAGAATGAATGTATTCACCATTTTTCCCATTTACTGTTTTAGTCAGTCGTGCAAACTTTTAAAAAAAACATCCTTCATGTGATTACACTGACTAGTGAATTAGTGGTTTCAAATCTTTGGTTAATCAATATGACATGGAGTATAAAGACACTATATATATATCCCAATTGGTACGACTTGTTATGTAATTTGTGAGCATAACAACACTGTATATATCATTCAGGGGATCCTATTAACCGTAACATTAACGAGATCTTATTAACACCGTTCTGTTGTTGATTTAGCCTTTGATATACATTTGAAAGACAACGATATAAGTTAATTATATTTTATGGGCGATCAATCTATTAAGGAGTCAGTCAGTCAGTAACAATGTAGAACTTCCTACGTATGTACATCAGTTCAAGTTGCCACACCACATTAGCAGAGAGATGCAGTTGTCGATTCAAATCCCCTAATAATAGAAGTAGTAAGAGTATAAGTAATAATCGGAAACTTTAGGGTTTGAAGATGTTATTCAAGGAGTATAATTCAGTGAAATAAATTTTGAAAGAGGAAAAAATGGGGACATGAGGAATTCAGAAGATTAGAATTTGGGAGAACACAAAGAGTGGATGCACCTGTGCCATTTCAAACGATTTTGAGCCATGTCATTCAAAGTCTCTAATCATCGGTTGCTATCGTCTCGCCGATCCCAACCAGCTAGTCTACACCTACCAACGTGATTCAGTCCACTTGTCAAGTGGCTTCATGGACTTGTGCCATATCTTGGTCTGGCCGCCCCTAGCTTTCTTCCAACCTACTCCTACAACATAAAACAACGCACATCGGGGCAGTCAGTGGTTGGGCATACGTAACACATGTCCCAGTCATCACAACTGATGAAGTTTTACTATTTCGTCAATTGATTTCCTATCCTTACCAAGTACCCGTTTCCTAACAACTGAGTTACTTACTCGGTGGTCCCAGGATATACGAGCAATGTTTCGAAGACACCACACCTATGATCGGACACTAGTAACCTACGAATATACTCTACTCTTACCGGCCATGTTTCACAGCCATAAAGTAGAACGGTACGAAGGAGTAAATAACTGCTACTGCAAATGAAATAGATCAATCACAATGTTAAACGAAAATGATCCTACCATATACACAAAATAAGAATGAATTACAGTTGTAAAGAATGTAATTATTAATTCAACACAAAAATACTTCACTAACAAATAAAGAATTGGAACTTACTGTAGTGGTTTACGATCAACACAAACTTTTTCTAAACAATCACGTAAGAATGCTACTGGAGTTTCATGAACCACATGGGCTATACGTAAACGTAATTTTACATATTCTAAAAATCGACGGAGAAACGACAAGAAACTGTCTGCACTTCGAAGTGATCCTGGTACTGATTCTTGAAGTATATCGTCTGGTAAAGCTGTGTTTAGGAAAAATAACATAGAGGAATGGGTGTGAATACCAGATAGGCGGAATTTCAGCAAATCTGAGACATATTTCTTGTCAAAAATACACTCCTAAAAAATGTCAACACACTATACATACGTAAAACGTCTTTGTTATGAGCCAAAAACGTGAAATTGTATTTCAACTGCTTCTCCGTTTGCATGTAGCTCATAAAGTGTTTACTCTCAATTACCGTTCCCTCCGTCTATCCAACTAATCAACTATGGTCGAACTTTGAATCATATGAATAATAAGTGCTTTCAGTGGAACATTCTTTATCTTCCCTGAAAATCTGAATTCCAAAATTACTTTTCCTTTTCTATCCTGTAAATTTATTCATTCTTCTCGAGTAATATCATCTAAGCCTAATCTTGTTTACTATAAATACTATTATTTGCCCCCAAATACCCTGGTATTGCTGAGGGTGGGGAGAGTCAGCTCTCCTTCTCCAAATGCTTTCATATGTCCCCACGTATACAGCCACTTACTGCCTTCTCGCGGCAATAGAGGGGTGCTGTCTACAAAATCGAGAGGACGAAAAGCAAATGTTCGGCGCCCTAACCGGGTTGGTGAATATCAATGATCCACCTAGGAGGGTTGGAAAACCCGTATTCTAAACCAGTGGTGTACATGGCCTCCAGGATCCTGAAGGAACAAATGGCATATGAACCAATTATTGGTGCCCGGCTACCATGGGACTGCATTTCCTGAGGTTGCTCCACTACCGTGTGGATCAAACCTTTAGGTCGAAGGCTTCGAATGTGGTCCCCTCAGAAAACCACCTGTTTCGGTTTGGGCACCCGGTCAGTATGGTAGCCCTCACACAAATCAAGTGACTTGTGTGGTGCATATGTATTTGGTGCCCCTTTGTACCAATATTTGTGTTCAAATAAATAAATAAATAGTTTACTACTGTTTCTTATTTATTTATTTATTTGAACACATAAATAATGGTACAATGGAGCACCAGATATATATGCGCCACATAATAACAATGAGAATGGGAAGAGAAAAAGAATGTAAGGTGCGTATAAGAGAGAAGAAAAAAGAACAATAACGACTACAGATTAGTGGTGTAATAATAACAATAATAATAATAATAATGGGGGAAAAGGAGGGGTACAACCAGAAAGAATTCTTTCAGTTAAGGAAGCTACAACCACTTTTCATAAGAAAGTAAAAGAAGGGTACAGCAGGATCTCCACTGGCTTCTATTCAGAGCCATATGTGATAACATCTCTAGCCACTGTGTTGCACCAAAATTTAAAGCATAGTAGTTTATATTTCCTGAATAGTTCAGTCTAGCTACAGTAAAATAGTTCTTTGCTCAATTTGTCGGTCAGTCAACTACAATGTAGGACCAGACACATATGTGCATCGGTTCAAATTGCCATACCTCATTAGCACAACAAGATGAACACCAGATTCATAGAAGTAGTTACTTCAACGATAGTAATAGGTTGTTTACTTAATTCAGAAAGTAGTACAGGAAGAAAGAATTAGTTCATAGAAGGAAAGGTATAAAGCAATTTTAATCTCACAGTTTAAGGGAATACAGAAAGTGTATATACCTACACCATTATGATCTATTCTGAGCCATGTCACACACAGTCTCCAACCATTGGTTACGATAGTCACGCAGACCCTAACCAAGTAGTCTGCATTTACCGACATGGCTCAGACCAGATGTTATTGACTTCAAGGACTGATGGCACGTTTTGGTTTGTCCGCCCCTAACTTTCTTCCAACCATCCCCAACACTAGTCAGCATTGCGCGTCGTGGTGAATGATGTTCAGGCAGGCGTAACACATGGCTTAACTATCTTAGTCGATTAAATTATAGTTTTAAACTGGGAGAAATAAAATTATCATAACTGACAGTGGTCTCAAATAGGATGAAACGTGTGTCCTGAATTTCATTTCTAGCCATCATACATCCCAGTTCATGATGTTTGTGAATTAAAGCAATATCAAGATAATCCACACAGCATGTACATATGCTAATAAGAGACTGAAAAATTACAGTCTTAAACGTTAGTGGGAAGATTCAAATAATCAATACAAAAAATGAATTTAAAAACTCTTCTACAAATCTTGACACTATTGAACTTGTTGACAACCAATTTAATTTACTTATTTATATAAACACATAAACATAGATACAAGGAGGCACCAAATGGATATGCGTTACATAAATCATTCCTTTTATGTGAGAGCTGGGATACTACTCGCGTGCCCAAACAGAAGCAGATAGTTTAATTAGGGAGCCACACTCAGAGCCTTCGACTTAACACTCTGTAATCCACATGGCAGTGGAGCAACATAAGAGAATACAGTCACATGGTGTTCGGTCACCAACAATAGGTTCATACGCCATTTGTTCCTTCAGGATTCCGGAGCCCGTGTGCACCATTGGTTTGGAATGAGTGTTTACCAACTCTCTATGTCCACCAACCCGGTTAAAGCAACGGACATTCGCTTTTCGTTCTCTCAATTTCTTAAACAACATCCCCACCGCGAGAAGGCAGTGAGTAGGATTTGTGTGACAGTAGTTGTATACATGTGGTCATGTGAGGGCATTTGGAGAGGGAGAGCTGACTCTCCTATCTCTCGGTCGTATCAGTGCATTTAGAAACAACCATTTGGTGTCAATAGTTCGTGCAATAAAATGTGTGCAAAAACCTGATATTGGGTCACTGAGAAATATCCAATAAAAATTATCAACTCAGTAATCAATAACATTTTCGTTAAGAATGAAAAGTTTAAAATAGGAAGAAATACAAATATATTTTAATTATGATGCTATTTAATGCTCAAGACAATAGAAAAAATGTGATCCTATGCAAAATAAAAATAGATTTCTGTACAGGAGGTTTAAATTGACCAAATGAGTTTGATCAGATTAATCCTAGAACATGCAGAGGTAAGAATATAACAAAATTATGAATGCATATAGAAAACGTACGTTTAAAAAAACCAAAAGAATCTCATACCTGGGTTAGCTAATACCAAATCTGTCTCTTTTGATAACTTTGCTTGTCTTAAACCTTCAACAAGACGTTGATATTCTTCTTTTAAACGTTCCGAATTGTTTATCTTGGCTTCATTAACAGTTTGTGTTAATAGATTTAAACTAGTTGTACATTTTTCTAAAGAACGTCTTGTAATTAAACAACTCATTGACTCAATACAAACATTGTCTATAGAGTAGAAATACAAGACAAAAGTCAATTAACTAATTGACTCAATTTTAGAAAATAATTGACTTCAAAGCTATATTTACGATATTAAATGACAAGGGATCAATATTGATGAAGGATTTCAAACTAGGATGAACAGGATTTTCGTACGTTTTTTGGATTTTATAAAAACTTTTGGGCCAAATCAACTAACTAGATATGGTTTAGTATTCAGTTTAACAAATTGATGAAGAAGGCGTATTAATCCCATTACTTTCAAATCTTATGGATTTCAGAACATTTCATTTGGCGAAAATGATACTATTCCGTAATACACCACACCTTACTGTTAAAATAAGGGATAAAGCAGGTCATTACTAGAAGATAAGGGACGTGACTCAATAGTCGAGTGAGTAAATCACTAAGCCAAAGTTATATAACATTATAAATAACGCGAAAGCTTCTCCAACTTATCGTCAAGGTACAATTTATATTTTGATGTTGTAAGACGTCTTTTTATAATAATAGAGAGGTACCATATCAATCTTTTCAAATTCCAATAATCCGTTCCACTTAAATATTCGATGACTGAACAAAATGTAGTTGTCACACAAGCATATCTGTGTAAGCGTTTAAACTTTGAAGGAGTATAGAGAACATAGATATAGACGTTACATAGATACAACGATTATTTCGAAACCTGAAGGTTCTTTGCTTAATTCAATATGGAGTTGAGGATGTTCACTGGTCAGTACAAAACCAATATAAAATAATTGTCTTGTGCTTCTTGATTTCTCCTCGTCATTTAGTGAATGTCAGTGATTACATCCAGAAAATTACTTTTGGAATAATTAACCTCTTTTCTACATATACTACTCAATTGATAAATAAAATAATGACCTACCAATGTTATGCGCTTCATCGAAAACAACAACTGAATTCTTTGGTAATTCTCGTGAGACAATATTAGCTATTTTCGGATCAAGAAGATAAAAGTAGCTGTAGACGACTATATTCGCATAGGAAATCTTTTATAGCAAAAAGATATAAAATAATAAGTCTAGATTGGGAATACGAAGAATTCAACGTACAGCATATCGTGTAAGGAAGTAAGGACAATAGTTATGCTTTTTGGCATATGTTTTGATATCAGCCTACAAATTGAGGGAATATATTATAATAAATTAAATCTTGATTGGAACATATCGACATACCATACCGTAGATGCCAGTGGGTAACGGATTATCTCGACCGTGTAGATCGAATTCCTAATATTTTAAAAAGTAATGTTATCAGAAAAAAAGAAGGACTATTTACCTCATAGTATTTACAGTAGGGAACATTCGGGTCAGTCATATGTTTTTTACGTACAAAGCTAGCAGTTAATCGAAAACAAGCAGAATCAACAGCAGCTCCATCACCAGCCTGTTTTACATCACGTTGAATGCATAGATTTTTGCGTGAACTAAGAACAATTCCCAATAGACCACATCCTTTTTCATCAGTTTCCGTTGCATAATATTTATCAAGAACTTTTAATTCATCAATGACTTTTTCTAATTCAGGTACTGTACGTGAACAATAAATGAATTTTTCAACTATTCCAGGACGAGCTTTCATATATGCAACAATTAATGAGAGTAGTGAAACTGTTTTGCCAGTCCCAGATGGCATTTCTAAAACACCATGACCCTTTTTTATCACAATTTAAATACGTTGAACTTACTTTAGCATCTATGGTACGCTTTAACTCAATCATATAATGATATTGCTCTGGATAGATGTACTCATATGGGAAATAGACCAGTAGTCCATCGATATTTATCCTGAGGTGAAATATTATATCCTGAATACTAACAAACTTCATTGTACTGAGTCAGAGGTATCGATTGACTAGATAAACAAATACAACTGAATATGAGTTGGTTGACTAGTAACTTGCACAAAAATTCTTTCCTTGAAGAAAACAAAATAAATGGTTATCAGAAACTAAACTTTATGGATCTAATACATCTATACAGTGCCAACCATATTACATGAGAAAATATCAGTAATAAAATCCTTAGTCAATACTATGCATTCGTTACAATAAAAAATTGCTGGCATCAATTGTGCAATAGGCAAAAATTTGGATGCTGAAAGAACTGCAGTGCTTCTGTTTGAGTTTTCTAGTATTTAGTCTAACAACAGTTTGAAACCCTTTTGTTATAACTCGTGAGTACAAATAATTAGTCTTCATAATTTTTAAGTACGAACAATTGATGACACAGACCTGCACCCAGTCATTCTGTCTTACAAACACATTGGGTTTCATATTTACAAACAAGCTTAGAAATGTATCTTTAATAGAACCAAATGATTAGCCTTATAAAAATTTGTCCTGCAAACTAAAGTTAGCCATATTTACACATTGACCAAAAAACTTGGCCTGAATGCCTTCAACAAGATATAAGGTTAAATTTTTGATCTGATGAAGCCAATCCATTTCTTGCTCCTCAGATTGAAATGACGCAGTTGGTCCGTTATTTTCCTTTAAAACGTTTTAAAGAAAATAACACGCCACAATTAAAACTGACCTTCTTGACGGAGAACTAAGATCCTCAACTTCTTACGAAAAGAAAATGTACGTACACCGTTGGAAATTTCACTCAGCCGAAAACCTGATTATGTAAAAGTTTATGGGGAAATGAAGACAAGGATCTGCCAGTCTATTGTAATAAAAACAAAAGCCTTGTTTTAAAGCATGCTTTGAGACACAAAAAAGTAAAATTTAGATAAAATACGCTGCAAAAAGTTGATGTACACACCAATTTTGTTGTGTTGCGAGTGACCTTGAAGTAACGTCAAAAATAAAGTTGTCCGTTTTTTCCAATGTCTAATATACCTGTCACGAGCACATATAAACCAACTAATTTATTTACGCTCGCTCCTTGTTGTTTCAATACGAATTCAGTTAGTAATTAATGAGCAACGGCTGGTACTACAGTCACTCGACTGCACCGATTCTACCCATTTTTGTAGTCATTTGTAGATTTGTATTTTTTGTAGTATGAATGAGTGCGTATGTCTCAGAACGCCAAGGTTTCTAGATCCCAGCAACTACCACATTAACAGGCTGGATGTTGGTTGCTTGCAATGCCAAAAATAACATAGCGACAATTCAATTTCTAGAACAAGACAACTGTATATCACCAACGTAGATAATCTATGTCGAATGATTGGGAGTCAACTAGAATTAGATGGGAATAGTGTGATGAACCAGTCAACTTCGAAGTCACACCTCACGGTCAGCACCTGATGTGAATTATCTTTTCATCATATCACTGTGTCATGGCTCTTTTGAAGACCATATAACACAAAGGACGTTATTACAGAAATATATTAGTAAGAGCGTGAACAAGGAGGATAATGTGACCTCCATCCCATGGGTCAGTTGGTGGCGTGCATTCACAAAATAGGCGTTGGCTGCCCTTGAACCTGATGAGGATCGATGGGTTATTCGACACTCACTGGCCCGACTGCATAATGATTTGACCAGGACCCAGTGACGTTTAACTGGCCCTAAGCTACGTTTATTTGATAAATTTTAAGAAGACATTTTGGCTATGGTTTTGAAAGTACAGAGGACTGTGTCAGTTCTGGCAATTGCGATCTTTTAGTCGATCTAGTTTCCTTCTGATGACGTCGACATATGAAACTTCAATCACATGTTAACTCAGTGAATTCCATTCGTTGATGAGTCGATGACAATGTCGACAGTGGGATGACAAGTAATTTATTCTGGGCTTGTCAGCTTTTTTAAATTGTCCTCGTTAAATCCTTGTTCTGAAATACAAGAAAAGTTAGAGCAAATCTATCACCAAGTAATTTAAAACTGTGATCAAGTCGCTTCTGGTTCTTCCATCTGACAATGAAAATAGGTTTAATCTGGCCAGTCGAGAATCATACGGAAGCTTTGCTGTTCCGAGAACCAGACCTTTTCCAACAACTCATTGTCTCTTTATAGAGAGACTAGCCGCTTGTATGCAGCACTCGAAGTTAAGACAACCGAATAGTGAGTGCAAAGAAAAAAGGGTTTTAAAAACGACCATGGCTGGAAGGCCTATGTATTTGTGCCTAGTCTATTATAAAGATCGTAAGATTTCGTTTGATGTACGATTTAATCCTATAGCCTCTTTTGTTACAAAGCCATTGTAATTTAAACGTAATATTTTGTACTCTACTTTCTACGCTAATCTCCAGTTTTGGACAAAATTGTATTTTCCTAATTATTGTTCATTGTGGTCTGGTTATTCATCTACTTATTCAAGTATCTTTTTACACTAATCCAAAATCGGGAACCATATCGGAATCGGGATTAAACTTTGTAGTGCTTCAGTTAACTCATCTTCTCTCTCTCGCGTGCTTGTTAGTCAATCAGATGATAGGATAGTTTTAATCTCTCTACCCCACTTCAAACTCACGTATACAAGCCTCAAGGTTAAGTCAGTCAGCCTATCTCGTCAATGTCTTAATCTAGATCATGTAACAACGCAAGAAGGGCTGTAGAATTATGGTCTAGTTCCGCATTAATACATTTGTTTGTTACCATAACAATAGATCTGACCCCAAAATTGTAGATTCGTCATGATGTGACTACCTATTCTATGAGATCTTTCATGAAATTCTCATTACTGTCTGTACTGATTCGTACTTCATGGCAATCAGCAATATGATGTTTAGTACCTCTGAAGAACACATTTCAGCTGGGGACAAAATAATATATATTCCATTTAGAAAGGTATGAGTTATATGAAGTGACCACACTTGCCAGGCTGAACCAGGCCATACCGATCAACTGCTCCCTAGTGATGTATGTGGGGTTTTTCGTTCTCGAAATGTTACAGTTTGAACGTAAATCTTTTCAGTAAGTATATACTCGGCTCGAAATATCGTATAGCTTGGATGGAACACGACCACAACAGAACTTTTGGTTTGTGGTTATTTGCGAATTCCGATGGCAACAATTTGATTGTCATACCATTTCTTATTTTTCCTTCATTAAGGATGTTGTGGCCGTTGAAATAGTTTTCTTAGATCCGTACATTTGCTACTTGTGGACATTGCGTTATAGTTTCCGTTGACTTACAATTCCAATGTGATTATAGCATATAAACAACAACTGATCTTGTCCTTTAGATCAGTTTGTGTTACTTTTGATTTACGTGATTTTACCCTTTCAAGTCAAAAGCAATCAATCACTTGAACTGTTTGACATTGTAACATGGCACTCAATCTTTAATGTCCACAAAAGAATTGGGGTTTTTGGCGGTGGAATTACTGGTTGATGACATTAAAATTTACTCCGTCTGTATGTTTGACTGACGGACTGAGAACAAGTAAGCTAACTACTACCTCCAGTCATACCAGGACAGATGAATAAATAATAAAGCACATTTTTTTCAGAAGCAAAAAAAGTTCAGTCACTTTGGCAGTAGAACTCGCTTGGTTAAAGTCTTCACTATAACAATAATACAACCAATTATTTTAACACTTTCACTGTATATCTGTAGTGGCATTAAGCCCTAACCACCCAATCCTCAGAGCTGAACACGAGATAATTGGGGAAATAGATATTCAACATTTAACGCGGAGAAAAACCCAACGATGGAGAAGGCAGAAAGAAGGAATTGAATCAATTGATTAGTCGGGTGGCATGGCTCAGCCTCGCAGGGGTGGTCGCTCTGTACGACTTACTTTTACTCATATTAAATATATTGTCCTATCTCCAGCCTAAATGTGTTCTTCATCATATATTTATGGTTGTTAGAATACAACGAGTTGAGGTATACAGTGATGTGACATCCACGTACGAACTTATAGATTAGGCAGTTACATCATGACAACTCTGCAATTGTAGGATTAAGTCTATTATTAAAGCAGTACTAATATAATAGTAGACCATAATTCTACATGTCCTCAATTACTCTGGGATACAACCATAACTCGTGAAACCACTGGACAGACTACAAACATCGTTGCTAAAAGAAAGATGTTAGCACGAATAGATAAAATGTTATTACGACTGAGCCAGGCCAACGGCATCAGTATTTCAAATCCATTTGTACCCCACCGAAAAGCGAAAGGGACTTTTTCTGTTTAAATCGGTTGATTGACTAAGCTTGTCCTGCCGAGAACGAGGCCTTCGGAAAACAACAGAAAACGATGGGCGTGAGCATATCGTGGTTTCCCAAAACACGGCGTTTAGATACCCACTGATTCGTTTCCGAAGAGCAGATAATTTAAGATCTGTTCCTATGTGTGTGTTTATGTAGGATTTGGAAAATATCAAATACATGCATGCTATATGACATCAGCATTTCGTCCCTCCACGGTCATAATGTTTGTCATCTTTTTCATTAATTTTCTATCCATCAGGTTAATTCTGTGATCTAAGAATATTTTTTCCTGACATTTAAATATGCTTGCGCTTTCTCAACTCTCATTCTTAATTCAGTACTCTCTGACTATTAACTCATTTCTTACACGAACACTGATTTTGGTGGCTGCCATATTGGTTCACTGCTCTTAGATTGAACTTGCTTGAATTGACCAATATAAATTCTCTTTTGGATACAATTTTGTCTCTGGTCATTAATTTTGATCATTAATTTTGCAAACTTTGATTATTCCTCCTTGAATGGATTAAATGTATCTATCCAGCAGAGTAGAGCCGTAGTCTTTGTTTGGCAAGAATCTCGGTTCTAGAGCCCGGGTGTTTGTAGTCGTTACGATGGATCCTTCAGGTACAATTAAAATACATCGAGCCCGATAGGCTTAATGGGTAGCTAATGCTACTCAAGAACAAGTCCCTGGATTGTCTGTGGATACTTCACTAATTTGAATTTGTTCCTACTAATCATTGTGATAATTTCTTCATTCTTTATTTCACCAGTGAGTTATGGATTCAATTGGCTGATTATTATGAACAAATAAAGGCTATATCAACGAGAGTTGTTCTGTGACGAACGTGTGCGGGCCTATCAATATTATTGTAATGGGTAAATGTTGAGCATCGGTAAAGAGATTCGAGGTTCTGTGTGGTTTTAGACCACAAGTATCTTCAAAGAAGTGAACTCAACATCCGCTGTAGTTAAAGTATAGTACGACTGACAAGTAGTGTATATGGAGAGCATAGCCGATTATCACATCGTTCGGGAAACTAGGAATATCGTAAACATGATTTGGCTTGTCGTTACAATCATAGCAAATTGAGAAATAAGCCTATAATCCATTCCGGGTCCAGGAGGGCAGTGCTATATCAGTTACCGGGTCTGAGCTCCATGATGTGTCTTACTACTGTTTTCTAGTGATTTATATCTACAATCCGCCTGTACATGGAGGAACATGAAAGTTAGTTATTCAAGATAGTGTTTGGTGTACTTGCAAGATACTAATTTAGTAATTTGTCGTCACATTGATTGGGACTCGGCTATGCTGGTTCCTACTTGGTTAGCTAAGTGGAAACGTGACGAAACAATTCAGTAAACTTATATAGCTAAGCCAATGTAGTGTGGGATATCAACAATGAAGCTGCATTAGAACAATGCTACGATAGGTCCGGTATACAGAAAATTATATCAAAAGCACTACTTGGGAGGTCAGAAGTTCATGGTTGCCTCATAGGGTAAAAACGTTGTTTGATGCTTGCGTACAAAGCACGCAGCACTGTCAACATCAGTTTTTCAAAGTAGCAGAGCGAATGCAAGTGGTTGCATGTGATGTGTGCTTTTACCTTGTATCAGTTCATGCTTCAGTTGTGGGCAAAATTTTAAATAGTTGGTCTCGTTTTTTTATTGCCTGAAGTCTTGCCGTTAGT